CCCCTCGGTTCTGTGACCGTCTGCACAGCTCAGGCTGCAAAGGCTGCCGTGAGACGCCGTGTGGCCTTTGGGAACCTCGGGCTCGGGAGTCAGTTTGGGGGGCGGTGGAGCCAGCTCGGTAAGGGGAGCGCCCCCCCTTCTCCGTCCGAGCTCAGGTGTCCCCTCCCCCAGCACCGGGAACAGCCTTGGGGGGGGGGGGCGGAAGGTTGAGAAGGTTCGAGAAGGTTCCGCGTAGGTTTGGAAAGGAATGAATGCGATGGATGGACCTTTTCTGGCCTCAGTTTCCCCGCCCGTAGAGGGAGAGAGAGCTGATCGCACTGGGCCCCAGGAATGGAGCCGCGTGTGGGGGTCTGTCTGTCTGTCCAGTTCTCCGCTGCAGCGGGCAGCCCCCGGCGGTGACTGCTCTGTCCGCTGGCCCCTGGCACTGCTGGCACCTGGCACTCACAGGCACCCACAGGCACCTGGCACCCACAGGCACCCCTGCAAAGGCTGCCGTGAGACGCCGTGTGGCCTTTGGGAACCTCGGGCTCGGGAGTCAGTTTGGGGGGCGGTGGAGCCAGCTCGGTAAGGGGAGCGCCCCCCCTCCTCCGTCCGAGCTCAGGTGTCCCCTCCCCCAGCACCGGGAACAGCCTTGGGGGGGGTGGGGGCGGAGGGTTGAGAAGGTTCGAGAAGGTTCCGCGCAGGTTTGGAAAGGAATGAATGCGGTGGATGGACCTTTTCTGGCCTCAGTTTCCCCGCCCTTAGAGGGAGAGAGAGCTGATCGCACTGGGCCCCAGGGATGGAGCTGCGTGTGGGGGTCTGTCTGTCTGTCCAGTTCCCCGCTGCAGCGGGCAGCCCCCGGTGGTGACTGCTCTGTCCGCTGGCCCGTGGCACTGCTGGCACCTGGCACCCACAGGCACCTGGCACCCACAGGCACCCACAGGCTCCTGGCACCGAATAAATGCACCATCTGTGAATTTCCCCACCCAGAAACCTCTTGAGGTTGGGGGACTTCAGCTCCATTTTACAGGAGGGGAAACTGAGGCTGCGAGTGGGTCCCGCAGGTCAGCAACTTGAGGTCCAGACTGCAGGTCACAGGGGGAACGGATCTGGGTCTGCCGGCCGGCCTGTCCGAGCACTGCCCGCCAGGACAGCCCGTGTGTGTGTGTGTGTGTGTGTGTAATCCTCACCCAAGGATATTTTTTCCATTGATTTTTAGAGAGAGTGGAAAGGAGGGAGGGTGGAGCAGAGAGTAAAAGGGATGTGAGAGAGACACCTCAATTGGTTGCCTCCCACATGCGCGCACTCCCCCCCCCCCCCAAAACCAGGGCCTGGATAGAACCTGCAACCCAGGTGGGTGCCCTTGAGCGGGAATGGCCCTCACAGGGAGCCGCACCCATGACCCTTCTGCACAGGCCGATGCTCTAACCCAGTGGTTCTCAACCTCGGCTGCACGTGAGGATCACCTGGGAATCTTTTTCAAATCCTGATTTCTGGGCCTCGTCCTCCGGAAATTCTGTTGCTTTGTGATGGGGTGGAGCCACAACATTAGTAACAAAGAAACAGAATTTCCGGAGGATGAGGCCCAGAAATCAGGATTTTAAAATGATTCCCAGGTGATTCTATGTGCAGCCAAAGTTGAGAACCACTGCTCTAACCACTTAACCACACGGCTTGGCCCTGGAAACCGGGGGTTTGACGATCAGATCTCAGTGTTAGAAGTGCTCTGGGCAGAGCACAGGTGGAGTGCCCAGGCCCTGGTCCTGAAATAGCCTGCGGGAGGCTTA